TATATATATATATATATATATATATATATATATATATATATATATATATATATATATATATATATATATATATATATATATATATATATATATAATATATATATATATATATATATATATATATATATATATATATATATATATATATATATATATATATATATATATATATATATATATATATATATATATATATATATATATATATATATATATATATATATATATATATATATATATATATATATATATATATATATATATATATATATATATATATATATATATATATATATATATATATATATATATATATATATATATATATATATATATAGGCCTATATTACTGTGGATACCTTACCTTCTAGTATAAAAACCTGTCAATAAAAATACGAAGAGAAAATATATATTTACATTTATGGGTCGCTACCAATAGATCTCTTTTGTAAAAAGTTTGTTTTTGTTTATTTTTTTCATTTTTTTCATTGGTTTGTCTGTTCCGTTAGATTTGCACTAAATGGAGACCTGTAAAATGCGTATTTATGTAGAGAATGTCCTTTTTCCTCCAAATGTTAAACACATTAACAGGTACAAAATATAACCGGAACTTTATTCAGAACTGACATTTTAAACTGATCCTAAAATTTAATCGAAAAAATAGCCGGAAATTTGAGTTAATCGTAAACGAAATTAAAAAACGGAAACGGACATTTTATCACAAAGCATTACTTTATCCGGAAACAGACCTTTTGACTTCAGACCCTAAGTTTAACCGCAATTGAAAATCAAATGAAAACGAAACTTTTCATGGAGACTGAAATTTGACCGGAATTAAGGGGTAGCTCCGTTAAAAAAAAATCGTAAAGAAACAATTATTCCTCTACAGCTTTTTAAGGTACATCCGCATGTGAGTTTATGAATTAAAACGGCTGTTCTTGTATTAAAAACACCCACTCTACGGATGATAAATGTATCAGATTAAGGGCGGTGGGGCTGAGAGGGTTACAGTCAGAGACCGCCGATTTTAGGGGCAGCCAAATTTACTGCTTGGTTGTTGGTTTCAATCAAATACCAATTTATTTTTTAAATATCAAACAACAGAACAAATTTAAGTATAAATACCAACTATCATACCTCCTACCCAGACATTGTTCATAGAAAGCAGATTCTCCCTAAAATAATATAGTCCCGACCAGCGTTCTTATGACAATAAATTGAGTTAATTTTAGCGTTAAAAACACACACAAAAAACACAAACAGCAGCCGAATTCAGCTCCACAAATAAATATAGATTTTAACAGTGTGAGGAAGACCGGGTGAAGATTAGGTAGCAAGTATCGACACTCAAATATCCGACCTAAAAAATATTTTAACTTAACCTTTCTCTCTCTCTCTCTCTCTCTCTCTCTCTCTCTCTCTCTCTCTCTCTCTCTCTCCCTCTCTCTCTCTCTCTCTCTCTCTCTCTCTCTCATATGGTGTTCTATTTTTTATTTTATACAGATATATTGTATCAGTACATTTTTACTTTTAATCTCGTAGAGCCCGTCATTTATAGTACAGTCGGAAGACAAAAGTGGTTGTATACTTATTTACCGTTCCATGAGAACTGGCTTTACCTACTATGTTATTGGGCAGCTTATGCAATGTGCAAAGAAATTCTACGCTGTAAGTACCATCGATGTGAATGTTTGAGTATATAAGTATGTGTGTGCAGAACTTTTTTTTAAAAAGATTTTTTAAATTTGCTTCTTTTGCCTGCCTGTCGTCAGTCTGTCTGTCTAGATCGAAAAATCCGAGCGAAATTTCGGGCACTTCTAACAGACAGATTCTGTTTCAAAATTGGTAGGTGGGTCAAGACATGAAGACAATGCAATCTGACATGAAACATCAAAATAAATAAACTGAGCATATCCTCTTTAATCAGGTTGATGTGGACATCACTGTTTTGGAAGAAATAGTTACTGAAAAGGGTTGCCATGTAACTTTTAGATTACAGTTTGACAACAGAGGATTTACGCCATCTGGTGAAAAGGGTGACACGGGCATTTACTTGAGCTCCTATCCTGAAATAAAGAGCTCTACGTTTTTTAAGGTACGTATTTTATTTCATACTTTTAACCAATATATCGTTAACAAATTTTAAAGTTTTTTTACTTGTTCATTTACGAACTTATAAAATAGGCCTATGAATGGAAATGCCATTTTAAAAAAAACTAAAAGAATAGCCCCACAGATCTCCACAAAATATTTTTTCAGGGTCAACCCTATCCTATATATATATATATATATATATATATATATATATATATATATATATATATATATATATATATATATATATATATATATTCGAAAGATCGGCGCCCCGGTATATAAAATAACACACGGGTGCGGTTTGGCGTTTGGAGTTTTCGAACAGCTGTCACAGAACTTGGTATCCGTCGATTTAGTGTCCTTTGGGTTGTCACATGTACTACTTGAATCAACGTTAAAACTGCACCAGGCGCATCTCCTTGCACCCTGGCGATTTAGTGACAGTCTACGTTCGTTTAAAAAAAAAGTCTGTGCACTAACGACACGGTGAGCTACAATAATCGTTGTATGAATTAAATCAGGCGCATCCCACATCGCCCAGGCGAGAAATGTAACGCATACGTTTATTTTAAAGATAATCATGCACTTTGGATAAGGTGTCATTCATTTATGACGTCCACGCAGGGAAAGGAGGACCGAAAAAAAATAGACGGGAGAGGAGGGGGTGGGGGCGTTCGGGTCAATGTGGACGTCCATATGCTGAATTTTACATCGAAATACTTACAACTAAAATTTCAAAAATTTAAATTAAATAAAAATTGCATATAAAAATGCAAAAACGTATGACGCATTTTTCTGTGTGCACAAATATCTGCTTGCACTTTTTTCTGTTTGCGAATAAAGGTTACTCTAGTAAAAACTATTTAAATGAGCTTTAGTAGAAACCATATTAGACTATTTAAAAGTGTGTGAACCTTTGCCTTTCGTACTACAGCTCATGGAGATTTTTTTCTATGCTACAGCAAGATTGATGGTTGCAATCACTGTTGTAATAGGTCTGTTTATTAGCAAGAAATTGTTTTAGTGTGTGACGGGCCCTGTAACGGCCGACCCACCCCTCACTGTGAGGTTTGACTAAACTTAAGTTCTGTCCCTGTATTTAAGCTGTGTTTAAAGTACTACTCTTTACTTTTTACAGCTGTTCCCATTTTGTCTAGTCTTTAATGCAAAGATGAAGATTATTGGCTGCGGTGGGAATCTTGCGAGCTTACTAAAGACGAAAGACTTGATAGGATCTTCAGTAACTGACATGTTTAGCTTACGACGGCCACTTGTGGACTTTACCTGGACCAATGTAAAATATTTTCTTCCTGCTTATCCTCAAGAATTTTATATATATATATATATATATATATATATATATATATATATATATATATATATATATATATATATATATATATATATATATATACATATATATATATATATATATATATATATATATATATATATATATATATATATATATATATATATATATATACACACACACATATATATATATATATATATGTGTGTGTCTGTGTGTGTGTGTGCGTGCGTGTGTGTGTGTTTTTGTTTGTTTATTTATTTATTTATTCATTTATTATGTATTTAATTTATTGATTTACAGACAATGTGTCTCCAGAAAGTGATTTTTGAGGTTGAATGGCGGAAAGAAGATTTAAATAATGACTTTATGAGCAGTGGCATAAAAAGTATGTGACAATTAACTTTGTTTCCGAACTGTCCGTTCCTATTACGTACGTATTTCTTTAAACGATATAGGCCTACGAAATAACGTGCTTATATTTAGACTCTAAAGCAAAAGTATTGTTAGATTTTTAGGAAATACGCAGGTAGTGCTTATTGCGGCCAAAACTAAATAAAATGATAACTGTGCCGATTGCCTCTTACGGATGAAAGGAAATGATCACTTTGTTTATTTCCTCTACCACAACAAAACGTCGGGGGTAAAAATAAAACTTTTATATAACACGTAGATGCTACTGCGTATTACCTCTAAGTGGAAAGTAAAATAATCACTTCTAGGAAATAAAAAGTAGGCCTACCAAGTCATAATCAATTTTGAAATACTGCTTTGATGAAATTTTATATATATGCATATCAAATTTGTAATTCTGTGTCAACTTTTCCGCGTTTTCCGGTTATGGGAAGTGGAACTAATCATAAACAGGTTTTTTCAACATTTGAATTTTCAGGTTACCTTAGATTTTGATATATCACTTTCTTTTCTAAGAAATATATTTCTAGTTAAAGTGTGTATAACAGAGCGGAGCGGCAAATTGTTGCTTTTTAATGATATTTTGCTCTATTTCTGATTTCTCAATAATCTACAGAATTTGAGCTTATATTCTAATGAAGCATTTTCTTAGAAAATTGTCGTCACATCAATATTTTGTTATATAAAAACATAAGAATATGCCTAGGAGAGGTCACTCTCGCTTTATTCAATACTCCACAAAAATTAGCGCACTAGGTGTATAAAAGTACTTTATTTGAAAAAAAATTAAGCATCCAATCAAGTCAAATTTTACAAGTCACAAAAAAATTGTTTTAAAGAATTCGATCAATTAGAAGTGATCGAAATGTCCCTCACAAGTTTTGACTCATGAAGTAAGTAAAAAGACAAAAGAATGAGAAAATGATTTTGAAACTTTCATTAAAGCCGTTGGCATCTGGCTATTGAGTCTATCAAATCGGGAAATGGCTATCATGAAATATTTACCGTCCAATTGTCATCTTTGTATAATTTCAAACTTAACCCTTCATTTCGTGCTGTAGCAATCATATTCTAGCTTGATCACTTTTGACCCAAATTCATAACCGAAACAGACTATAGGTGTGTTTCGTTTTACACAATTCAAGTTTGATTTCGTTTTTTTTTTTTACATTAGTCTGACAGCTGTGATCTAGGTGCTTTTTGAGAGAGTAAATAAATCTAGAAATAATAACAGTTTCTTTTAGTAGTGAAATTTGTCTGAAATAGAGACTGCATATTTCTTTGATCACTAAGTTCTAATTATTCATCTATTTATTTACCTGATGTTGAATGTGATACTGGAACTGAAATTGAACACTTAGAAAGTGATGTAGAGAGAATAAAGTGATTGGTTCGGAGCAAGTAAAGCGGTAGACTTTATTCTGATATACATTCATAAGCTGTAGGCGTACATTTATAAGATGTACATTCACAAGATGTAAGCAGATGGTAACTAGCAAGTGGTTAACATGAATGTTCTCTATTATTTGTGAGGAATAGCAACTGACCAACATAGTTTTTAGTGCAAGGCCTTCTGGCTATTCAATATTATTTTATTTCGCACCATGGATAAAGTGTTAGCATAATGGGTGAACAGATTTTCTAGATCTACATTGCACAAAAGAATCCAGATAAAGCTTAAAGTTTTGATATAGCAGATATAAATCAATTCATTTGCTTCTAATAGTCATGTCACTGGTTTCATTGCATAGGAAAAAGCTATAATAATGGCCAAATATCAGCATTGTAGATATACTCTAGGTTCCTTCCTATCAATAAGTTTGAGTAATTAAAAACTACTTTGCATTAACAATTTCAAATTATACTAGATAGAGGTGCTGCTGAGCTAAGTGATGCTGCTTATTTGGGATGAATGTGGTTTACTCCTATCAATAATAACACAATAAATTTTCAATGATTAATGAATAATTTTTTTTTTCTATTTTAACACATTTTTACTGCAAAATAATCATTTGATAAAATATTTCAATTTCCTCATTATTTATGCTCCCTACACACCACAGTCCCCATTGTAAGATTTTTTTCTAAAAAAGCTTGCACAAAATTAATTCATGAAATGAAGGGTTAGTTTCTTAAAATTTTAGAGCTTCTTTAGAAACACGGTAGTTCCAACATTTAATTGACTGTTGAAAAGTTTATTAAAGTCTTTTAAGTATTGTATTCACGTATTCTTTGTATATATTTAGCTGCTAGGTATGGCGACAAGCGGGCAGTCAATTTCAAGAGGCTGTTGCTTAGAGGACAAATGAAATATATTAAGGATTGGGAGGCAGTCGCATTTCTTTGTACCCCATTGTAAGTTTTATATATATAGTTTTTTTTAATTAGACTTGACTTAGTCCTCTTTGCTCCTTATGGAACATAGGACCTAAATAATTTCCTTCCATTTCATCCGATCCCCGGCAATTAATTTTGCCGTCTCCCAAGACATCCCTGTTGGCTTCAGTTCTTTAAGAAGAATCCAGTCTGCCTTGGGCGCCCTCTATACCGCTTTCCCTGGGGGTTCCACTCAAGCACTTGGTGTGTAACATTTGGGTGAGCCTTTCGTAGCGTGGGTGAAATTTACAAGTTCCGTCTTCAGTTATTAGATTATTTAGTGCTTGTTTATCTACAATTTTTGTTTTTCCATCTTAAATGTAGGTAACCCGGGGTAATTCCATACACTACTTTTCTAAAAAAAAATTGTAAAAAATCTAAAATTAACACTACCACAATATAATATTGATGGTATAACAAGACATGCATTACTTATATGATGACAAACAAATATAGAGATAATTCATAAAACAAAATACAATTTTTAAATATTTCACTTTTGTTACAAAAACATGCCGAGAGGGGCAATTCCACACACATTATGAAAATTTTAAAATTCATGTATTTAAAAATTTGTAAAAAAAACATTTTTCCCTTTGGAAACAATTTTGCATGGGGGCAACCACTCTTCATCACTGGATGAAGAGAAAGACTCCATTTCTTCCTCCTGAATTCTGCTCTCATTAGGAGGCCTTTTCAACCTCAGCTTTCATTGCCTTCTTCTCATAGGCTGAAGTTATTCGTTTATAATTGCTTACCATTCTGAAAAAAGGAAAAATAAAATGTTAGAAAGTCTAATTACTAATGTAAGTGGGTCCTGTTATCTAAAAATATTGCATAAATTATAATAAATAATATGGGTACAATAAAAATAATACCAAACTATAGTGTACGGAATTGCCCCACACCATGTGTGTGGAATTGCCCCACACCTACTATTGAGAAAAATATGCTTTCCTGTTTTGAATTAACAGCTAGATCTAGCATCATCAATTGTTACCATTAACAAAAATGATTAAGCTTCCATAAAATGAATAAATAATTGACAATTAAAAATAAGACAAAATAAATATTTTTAAAAAGTGCAGGGGTTGTACTTACGTAAGGATGTTTGACAGAGGCGTATCCAGGTTTTCGTTGTAGGGGGAGCGAAAAGAGCAAAAAAGGCGCCGAATTTTTAACACGTTCCATATACGTGTATTTTATATATATATATATATATATATATATATATATATATATATATATATATATATATATATATATATATATATATATATATATATATATATATATATATATATATATAATTACTAGCTGTATGTCATTACTTCGCTATGATGTAAAATAAATTGAAAGTAGCACTCTGAAGAAATAAGAAAAAACACACAATGTAGGCTGACAAAACAAAAAATGTATCAATCTAAACAAAAAAACAAACAAAATATACACAACCTACAACCAAAAACAATGAAAGTAACACAATCTGTTTTGTAATTCTTGTAAAAAAAATTTTACATAATAATTCCTGGGAAATTTTTTAAGACAAGTGAAATAAAGGGAAATAATCACTTTCTTAATATAAATATGTATATATCTACACATTTAATTATAAATGTCAAAACAAATAAATAATTACTTTAGAATATAATGAAATTGTTTAAAACTATTCGTTTTAACAAAATGTTTTTGTCTATAATCAGAATGAAATATATCGTCATCATAAATGCTAAAGTATTACAGCATAATGAAAGTTTTTGAAATCAGAGTTGGTATAAAACTACGCTTTTCAAACTCATAGAAAAACATTCGAAATAACAGCCTACATTTAACTAAATGTCGGTCATTAGTTCAGATCATATATTTTTTAATTAGCTACTGCTTCTTTGTGTTCCTTAAAGATATATTTTTAACATAGTGATAGGTATGGGTTAGATCACCATATTGCTCACACACCTTTTTACTGCCCAGTCACTTTAGGTCAATTAGCCAACCCAGTGTATACCTAGGTGTGACATTAATGTCGCTCTACACAATTGTGGTGGTGAGGTGTGGGGTGGGGAGATAACCAACTCAGAGTGAACATAGCGTCAGTTTTTAGATGACTGTTCTAAACATACATATATATTACACATGTATACTGATTCAGAAATAGATTTAAATAAGTAGCAGTGGTATTATGACAATATTTTTTTTTACAGAGGGGTCCATGGGGGAGGGGGGGGGGGGTTGTAACTGTTTCATATAATTTGTAATCGTATCACTATCGCCCAAATTGTAAGAATATTACTACTACTTCATCGTGATGACAATGACGTTGTTGACGTGTCAAAATTTCCCCACCGCTACGCAGCTTGCCCATAAGTAAATTTAAATAGAGGTGCCACATCAGTTGTATTTGTTTCTGTATTGTAATTTTAAAAAAATTAATCACACGATTCAAACTGTATAGATAAAGTAATTATGTGTAAAGTTTTATGTATAAAATTTTCTAATGCAATTATTCGTAAGCAAATACATTATATAGTTGCCTTAAACTTAACACCCCTCTTGCCAAGTGGTACTACCGGTAGAGGATTTTAAAAATTCCAATGCATCGTAATGGTTATTTTTAGAATGGCAAACTGATGCAGCTGTTAATACGTGTTGTAAACGTAGACACTACTAGACTAGTACAATGATGCTTAATTGCTGCATGAAAAGAAATCTTGTGATTTACATAGATGTGCCGACCAAAAATATTTTTTTAACAAATATCATTGTTTAAAACTTTGAGTTTAAAAAGTTTCCAAAAAGGCGCCACTTTGCTGAAAATGGCCAGAGGGGGAGCGGCCGCTCCCCCTGCTCCCCCCCTGCGTACGCTACTGATGTTTGAATATAGATTCAGAGAAAATTAAAATTCTTGCTCTGATTGTAGATGAACGCTTCTCTAACAATATCAGAAAGTACAGAAGATGACCTCTTAGAAACAGGAAATAGTAACTTTTAAGTAAAATTCTCACTCTTAAATTAGAGAGTATTCAGTATATAGTGTGTGGAATTACCCCGGCTTACCCTACATGAATAAATTTCAACACTATAACAATTGCGTATTTTTTAAAAATGTAAACAATGCACTGTATTTTTTTTTTATTTAATTGATTGGGCTCGTCTGTCCGCTGTACGGCCAATATATCTCAGAATGTGCCCTGTAAAAACCATAAATAACGTTGATATCTCACGGCGACAGGAATAGTGACTCTTATGTCGCTATTAAACGAACAATGCGTTCATTTCGTGCGCAATTCGTTTTAGTCGAGCTATTCTATTGCATTGAAAGTATTGCTTTTTTAAATATTTTTTTTTCAATAACAAGCATTGATAATGCGCTACAAAGCAGAAAATATATGATTTTCTTGAAATATGAAATAATGTATTCAGAAAAAACATCTTTCCGGTCACTAAAAATGGGTTTCGAATACCTGTATTAGAATTTAAGAAGAATTTTGATTTATTATTACAGTGCATTTTGTAAGTATGTAATGAAAACGCTTTTTGTTTTTTAATTTAAAAAAGTATTTTTCCATACAAAAATCTCCTACTTTCGGATTTGTTTTTAGATTAGGTAACTTGGATGACATGTTGAAAACAGGAATCTATCTACATGACTTGAACATGTTTGATAACAGTCGTGATTTGGTACTAGCAGGTCAGCAGTGCGCCTCCGACCTAGAATACAGCATGGAAAAGGTTGGGAAAAATTTAAAACTTAGTGTGCTATACACAAAAACTCCACCATGACTTATTTCAACATGTTCATATAATTTCAGCAAACTGCATGGTCGAGACAAATCGAAGATACTCTTCAAAAATTGGATAAAGCAAGACAACAAAGTGAAAATCTGATCAACTCAATGTTAACTAAAAGTATTGCTGACCGACTTAAGTTGGGCGACGATGCTTTATCAACTTGTGAAGTAAGAAATAAATTACTACACCAAAAACAGCGCTTAAAGGAAATTATTGGAATATTTTTATTTTAAGCAACCTAGTTAGTGTAAATGGGGGTGGGAGTAAAATTTGTAAAACACCGTTTTAAATCTTCTACGTATTCATCTCTAGGCATTTCCTCAAGTAACGATTTTGTTTAGCTACCTTGTAAGATTCTCTGATATCTGCACTGAAGGATCACCTATGCAAGTAGTTCAGTGTATACAAAATGTGACAGAAGTTTATGACAAAATTGTGGAAAAATATAAACTTTTCAAGGTAAGAATAAGACAGTGTAGGTCCAAGTTGTGGACACGCGGTAGAGCAGGAATAAAATCCCAAATGTCCAGTTCGGTCTACTCGATTTATTCCATAAATTCTCCCTTCTTTTTTGCCAACTCGTAAAATTCATCTCTACTTTCTCGTAATAAGATTAGGCATGTGGAGAAAATATTATTGTGCTAAATAATTAACAGAAATTTGACAGTTTTCACCTTTTTCACCTTCCATCTATCATATACGGAACATAAAGGATGCACCGTAATCGTGCAAAAAAATCTAAATACTTCTGCCCGAAACGGTAAAAGACTTAGTTTTGAAATTTTGTCCGTTTGAGTTATGCATTTTTCTTTCTTAATGTTATTGACGTGTTCAGGTTGTGTCGTTGAAATGAACTTCTTATTCAACTTGTCTGTATGCATGATTGCATGTGTTAATTACTTCTGAATATGCTTAAAATTTTCATCTATCAACGTATGACATAAAGAGATCAGTTTCAGTGGACCAGAAGTCTCAATTGAAGCATATACTATTCCATCGTTCCTAAAAAATGTAGGCCTTTAGGCCTATAAAAAATAATTTTTATTCCTGATTGCAGTTGAAGTGACACCTCCCTTATATAAGAATAATACTGTCGCTTTATTTTTTTAAAAACTTTCTTCTTCTTCTTCTTCATCTTAATTCTAGTGATGGAAGAGATTCCCAAAAACACAATAAAATATTCGTTGTCCAATTGTTATGAGCCATTTAGAACGTTCCCCGATTTCAGCTAGCTATTCATTTTTTCTTTCCTTCATCACATTTTTAATGTGGCAAAAATTATAAATCCATTTTATCAAAATTTGGCGTTTTATGCGTAAAGGAGTTGGAAAAACTGGATTATCCGATACCGTTACAGCTAGGTAGATAAAATTTCATATATAAGTATTATATCAAAATCGTAGATCCGTATCAACTTTTGAGCGATTTCCGATAACTGGAAGTGGAATTTTTTCTACTTTCAATTTTTCAAAAGCCGTGGACAGGAAGTAGTAATTTTCGCTATTTTAGATTTCTCAAAAAAACGCATGTGAATTTATAGAGTACTCATGATATTCTGCACTATTATGCACATTTTATCTTGGTGTGCAATTCTTTTTTCTTCCATATTTTATTCTATTTTTTTTAAAAGTTAAAGTATTTAAAATGGATTAAAAGTCATGTCTATATCCCGAGTTGCGATCCGCTGTTGTTTCATATAAGAATATTCGAGAACGTTTAGGGGAGATCACTCCCGGTTTATTGGATTTGCTTCTGTTGCAACCAAGAACATTCAATGAGGTAGCTGTTTTTGTTTTTTATTTTAGAGCTCTAATAGATGAATGGTTGTCTCCAGCTATCGAGCTTCATCTGCATGGGGGTCAAATTACGGTTCCGCAATCATAAGTTTAAATCCGTCAACAACAAAAAATCGTTTACGTACATTTGGGACGTCTTTAATATAAATAACCCGTTTTTATAAGGAGAGAAATCAATATTTGATTGTCCTCGCTTTTTAAAAATGCAAAATAACATATCTAGTCGCGGAAATCAGCAAATTTTAGAACGATTCATATCAGGGGTAAAGACTCCTAAATAAACTAAACCTACAATAAATTCAGCATGGAAAAAATACAATGTTTAAATCGTCTCTATTTCATTAAATATCTTTTTGTCCTAGGTGGAAACGCTCGGAGATGGAGTGTATATGGTCGCGGGTGGTGTACCCGATAAATGTTTAGATCATGCTCAAAAAGTTGCTGGGCTGGCTTTAGAACTTGTAGAGAACGCAATGTACGTTAAAAATCCTATCACGGGAGCTGGTATGCAGGTTAGAATTGGTATGTTACATCTTTTTTTATAAGCTTTGCTGAGATCTTTTACGTTAGTGATTTGTTTTGACGAAACGGTAAAACCAAATTAAGTAGTGGACGGATTTGTTTACTAGTTTAATATTAATTTGACAGGCATGCACACAGGTAGTGTTGTTGCTGGCATAGTTGGTAAAAGGACTCCACAGTACTGCCTATTTGGAGATACAGTAAACACTGCCGCCAGAATGCAAACAAATAGTGAGGTTAGGAACATTACAAATTAAGCTTTAAAATTAATCTTAAGAAATAATACAAATATTTTTAATTCAATCTCTTTAAACCAGGAAGAACACTTAAATATAGGACAACTGTTACCTAGGTAGAATACATCTTACATTTGACCAGGCATAAATGCATCTTTTATTCACATTCTAGAGGCACCTTGCATCACTTAGTACACTGAGCTATATAAAATACATAATACTTTACATCACGTAAATATGTAAAATAACCTCTTAACAATATAAAATTTACAACTTATAAAACCTTTCTTAGCTAGGTAAAATACATCTTACATAAACTCTTAGCCAGGTAGAATACACCTCACACAACCTTGTCACGACTGCCTTAAAGGGACAGAATATTTGTCGGTTTATCGAGGCAGAATTCAAGTGAAGGTGATTTAATTATTTTTTTCAATTTTAAATTAATATATTAGAGGAGATAGTTTTACCAAAACATTCATTTTTAAAAAAAAAATGAAATAAATATATTATATAGTTTCGTATAGTTTCGTATATTTTCTGTTAAAAATATACTAAAGAATTATATATATATATATATATATATATATATATATATATATATATATATATATATATATATATATATATATATATATATATATATATATATATAAATTGTACTTCTTTAAGGGTAAAGGTGAAATGAAAACCTATTGGCTAGCCGGTAAACAAGGAGCTGAATCAACTAAAATAATGTGCAGAATTCTTAAAGAAGAGCATCAAAAGCGTCGCCAAGGGTAGGTTGCTTTTTAAAGATGTTATTTCTGATAGGTAAAAGTAGAGAATATTTTAAAATTCAAAATGTAATGAATTGGAAAAAATAAACTTTATTAGCAAGTTTTTACAAGTGAAAATCATTGTCATAATTTTAATCCATGGTATTATTATGTTTCTTGTAAAACAAAAACAATATTCCAACACTGTAACTAATGTAATGGAAAGGAGTTGGGAGGAGGGATTGTGGGTGTAAAGATTAATACTTATTTTTAGTGACCAAAGAGAAAAAATCACTTCGTCAACGATAATTCTTGTTACACACTGGATGTTACACTAAAAAATTATTGAACAACTTTTTAATTTATAAATGGGGAGAACAGTCTAGTTTTAGAAAAGTATTTTTACGTTTATCGTTTGATAACACAATTGCATAATAGAGAAACACACAACACACAACCCCAAATCTGATAATACCACGACATAACACGACTTACCATGACCTAACATTAGGAACTAACAGGACGATATACCAATTTTGAAAAACGATTTACCACAATGGGAATTTATTGAAAAGGATTGTATTTATTTGTAATTTAAATTTTTTTTTTAGTTCAGTCGAAAATCCATACGACTTACATGCTCTTCATAACTCTACATCGGCTTCCAACTTTATTTCAATATATGATTTAAATGATGAAGACGAAAAAGAGTTGGAGTTAACGCTAAACTCAGTTTTTGATGGAGGTACACAATTTCTAATTATTTACGTTTAATCTGAGAAATTAGGTAAATAGTAAATTTATTCTAAAATTAATCTGAATAGGTTTTTGTTATTTTAAAAGATTTTGTTTTTTGAAGAATTTACATATTTTACTACATTATACTACATTATACTTAAACTTTTGGGCAATGAGTTTTTTTTAATTCCTTACACGCATAGTTTACAAATAACCAGATATGCTAAATGTTATTTTTTATATATATATTGTATGAAAAAAAAATACTGTTAAAAAGAAAAACAAAAAACGTCATAAAAACAAGCCAATGCACTAAAATAGAGAAAATAAATTATTCTCCTTAAATATGTATATACTATAGTCTATTAAATACCTTTATTAAAATTTTGGAAGCGAGCCTTTTTACAAGCTTTTATCTAACTCGCTTCCTCTGTCGTCAGTCGTCAGTCGTCAGTCTTCAGTCTGTCTGTCTAGATCGAAATGCTGGAGTGAAAATTCGAACACTTCTACTTGACCGATATGATTCACATTTGGCACGTGGGTCAAGACATGAAGACAATGCAATCTGAAATTAAATTTGACTTAATTGGATGCCTAATTAATTTTTTATGAATTAAGTAAAATTTGGACCGAATCAATAGGCATGTCTATCCAACCCCACCACACGCGTCATCACGTTCAATAGCTGCGCCATCACCTTCAGTAGGCGCGCCATCACGTTCAGTAGGCGCGCAATGGTTTTTAGTCATGTAACTCTATTGTAAACATGTAAAGTACTGAAAAAAAATTTCATAAAAAACGTTTTAATAACAAGCTTTTATGTAATAATGCACTAAAAAGTAGAAAATAAATTATAGACTACTATTTAACTAACTATATAGAAAAGCGTGGGTCACTTTAGTATCTATTGGATACCTTTACTAATGTTAAGGAAGACACCCACGCTTTTCTTTATAGTTATTTAAATAATAGTCTATAATTTATTTTCTACTTTTTAGTGCATTATTACATAAAAGCTTTATTAAAACGTTTTTATGAAAAAAAATTTTCTTTAGGGCTATTTTATTTGTGGCACATAAAAGCTTGTTTTTAATGTATTTTTTTAAATATATAAATAATGCAATAACTTAAAATTTAGTCGTTAATATAGCTGATATTTAATTATTAAAAAGACTGTATTGTGAAACAAAATATTCTTTGAATAGATTCGACGATGGAACATCATGAAGCTGTTTGACTCAAGACTCAAGAAACAGATTACAAATACTTTTTTTAATTTTATTTTCTTGATGATTCTTTTAAAAAGGACTATTTATTTTATGAATATATATAATGATTATAAAAATTTAGAAGCACTGAAAATATAAATAAAACAAAATTACAATGCAGGCTACTAATTAAATTTAATCTTTTGTTCAATTTCATCTCGTACGGTTTTTCTGTTATGCCTAAAAAAAAACGGTTGTTATGGTATCGTTTTCTGTTGTAGAATACTATTTAGGAGGAAATTATTGTGTACCTTGGCTCTTTTTACCATAAGATGTTTTTATAATAAAATAATCAATTTCAATATGTGATTTATGTAATTATTTATGTTAGTATACGTTATAAATATGTTAAGACATGAATTTGATACAGTTTGTGTCAAGTTGAATAGATTCTTCTTTTTCGTTACGTTTACCTAAGGTTTTTATCAGAAAAAAATGCAAGATTTTAGGTAGAGACTGGCTGATTTGTTGTAAGGTAACTCGTGTGTTGAGAGAGGATGTTCTGAGTGGCTGGTATCTCAATTCTCAGATAAGAATATTTTTGTGAAAACTGTTTTGCTCAGCCGATCATACACTATTCTCAACGAAACTGTCGTTGAGTGGCTTATCAACAGTGTCGGTATATAATAACGCTATAGATTTTTTCTCATTTGATTCTGTCGTTGAGACTCTAATTATAGTTATAAACTGTAAAAACTAGCTAACGGAATAAAACCATTTCGATTAATTAACCCATATTCTGCTAGCGTCCCACTTATGGGACGCTTGTAAAAAAATCGCTAAAATTTATTAAAAACTAGTTAAAACACAAATTATGTTTCATTGTATTTGAAAATGGCTAGACTATTGAATTTGTGTGTTTTGTGAAAAAAAATAGTTTAAAAAAATGTTATAGTGCCGGATTTGCAGGACTTGTCAAAATGGCGGAAAAAAGAAAACATGCGCACAGGAAAATGCATATCTTCTAAAATATTAACATTTTAAGTGCAAAATACATTAGAAACTTGTAGCAGTACCATATTTCTATCTCATAAAAATTTAAGAATAATAATTTTTTTTTACTACTTCGTTATATCAAGTGTACAACAAGCGTCCCACAAGTGGGACGCTAGCAACGAATGGCCCCATGTAGATTGTTACACAAACGTCACATTTATTGGACACTAGCGAGAAACACAGATGCAAATGTTTATGTTAAATGGTTATTTATGGTGAAACAATTGTTGACTTTGTTAACTGCTGACTTTGGGGTGTTAAATAGTATTTATAGATATTTAATAATGACCTTGACCTATATTTATGCAGATTGTTACACAAACGTCACATTTATTGGACACTAGCGAGTAACACAGATGCAAATATTTATGTTAAATGGTTATTTATGGTGAAACAATTGTTGACTTTGTTAACTGTTGACTTTGGGGTGTTAAGTAGTATTTATAGATATTTAATTATGACCTTGAGCTACATTTTCTTATTTATTATTGTATTAAAAAATTACAAATATTGAAAAACTTACATTTTATTTTTAAGTTTTCAGAATTACACTTACTGAAGTATTTAATACCATTGAATACAAACTAATTTAGTAATGCTGTAAATTTACTAGCGCGTGATATTAAAATTATAACAAACCAGAATAATAACAATGGCCACGATTTAGGTGAAATGATTCAGTCATGGGGGTTGGTTAACTCTCTTCATATAAGAGAGCTTTAGCTACATATAGCAGAAATGTAAATTAGCTGTGTACAGTTGTCATGCCCCAATAATATTCCCCTCCAAAGGTTCCCGATACCAGTTTTACTTTGTTAACTTTTTAAGGAGATTCCTGGTGTTAGATTGGGAGCTGTTCGCATAGTGATATGCATACATGGATGAGAGCCATGATCACTCAATACAAGCCCCCAGAGACGGATCCGTGCCCTAGAAATAAGATGTCTGATGTCCTAATGTACGCCTGTGAGAGGGGGGGGGAGAATAGCGAGGGTAACAAAAGAGAAGATAGCTGGATGACATCTGGGACTGGACCGGATCATCTTTTGCAAATTCACTGAGGACAGAGTTTCTTTCAGGCATCATTTCAGAGGGGGGAAGAGGGGGGCTCTGCCCCCAGAACAAAATGGAATTTATATACCAAACATACTTTTACCAATGTCCAGCCTTCCCCTGAAATTTAAGTCCCCACCCCTGAAAATTTCAAGTACGCCCGCCAAAAAATCAATTATATATATTTAATTATATTACAGTTTCGATAAATAATAACAATATTTGTGATCACGTGTGTCTAATTAGATGTACTAGTCACAGCTTTACTTATTTCCAAGTGTTATTCACTTTGATGGATGCTAGATTGAAAGAAAACTAGACTTTTGAACATAATTTCTGCATTTTAGACCATGGTATGGCTAACCCAATTGATCATTATCAGTATTTTTATCTGTCTTTAACAATTTAATCATTGGTCTAACAATACAAAATCAGTATACAGCTTAATTTTCGCGTGAATAGCCATATTTCGTGATAAATGATTTTATTTTTCAATAAATATACATGGGGCCGTTCGTTGCTAGCGTCCCATTTATGGGACGTTTTTTTTAAAAATCGACATTTAAAAATGTATTGATTTTTTAAAAAAATCCATAGTCATTCCTTCATTCAGTGCCCAAAAGCTAAACCATATCAAAAAATTATAAAAATTTGAGACCTTGGGATAATATGGGTTAATCGCTTAAAATATTTAATATAAGAAAAATTAAACAACCATTCATTTTACAGAGCTAATAATAATTAATATTATAAAAAATGTATCTTCTGTCTTTAAAATTGAAAATTAAATTATTTTTAGCAATATAAATTAATACAGTGGATTGCTGAATTTAATTGTCATCATAGTTATGATTAATTTTAGAGATTATATGATTAATTTATACACAATTAGAATTACAGAATATTGATTATTCGGTATAGAAAACATTAGGGTAGAGATTACTGAACGATATAATATAGGATTATGTAATATAGAATATATTAGTATATTATTATAGAATCTAGGCTATACAACAAGTAATACATGATATGATTGCAAAATAGAAAAGATACATAATATAAAGGCCCATTTTGTAATCGAATTTAAGACTCATTTCGTTTACAATATGTTATTACAAATATAAAATTGTAGAATACGTAATAGCTATTTTTATCGAATTTATACATAGAATGTGCTATATAATCTTAAGAACATGATTATGTAGTGGCGTAGGTACAAGGTGTGCCAAGGGGCTATACCCCCCCCCGCCAATATATATATCGATGGTCTCGGTCGCAAACCGTCTAACTCCGAAAATGTAAATTTTACAGGAGAGACAAAAAACTGATTATTTCCTTCTCGATCGCTCTAATACAATTTTTTTTAATGATATCTCCGAAGAAACTCTCTACCGACTATACTGTAGCGTTTTAAAATGAGTTTTGTTAATATTTACAAAATTATTGCAGGTTTAAAAAGATAGACGGTTTGCTCGGTCTAAAATTCTCGGTCTCAGCCGCGTTCGTTCGTTTTGTCCAATGAACGTGATTTAGTTATGTTTATGTTTTTAAGTTATAATTAACAGTTCATAATATTTAGATTATAGTTTTGGGCTCATATTTTAATTATTTGAGTTTATTATACATTATGGGATCAGTTTAACTTTTAATAGAGATGTTTTAGTATGGCTTTATCGCTTTCGAATGTTTATTCATTATGTCTGTATTTAGCACTAGACTTGTTCACTGTTGAAGGTTATGCTTTATTTATTACATCTATCTATTCTCACAGTTTATTTTACTAAATCTGTTGGGTGCTGGGTTTGTAGAATGATAATAGTAAAAACAAAAACCGTGTTGTAAGATATATTATGAATAAGACATAACACACTAACCACATTAATACTGACTTAATGTTTACTTATTTTACAAAAATGTAACACAAAAAATGTGTTTATTTTTAAAATTTATTCTTTGAATAAACGTCACATAAAGAAACATCAAAATGGCAACATTTTTAAAATCAGGGAAATCATCATAAAAAGGTGTTTATGACTTGCTTTTAGGTGCTCAAATATGACAGCTTTTATCTTTTTTTCTGCTCTTGTACAACTTGACAGGGGCTACAGATGAGATCATAATCTTACGACCCTAGCTTAGCAATTGCCAGCTATCTGCTAATTCACTTTGAAGTAGACAGTAGCATCAGGCTTGTACTGCAGTGCACGAATATTTGTCACTTTGAATTCTTTGAGATCGGTTGGTCTCTTGTATGGTAAGGCTGGTGTTTTTGAGAGAGGTTGGTGTCTAATGTCTGTTTATGTGAGGCTGGTCTATTGTATGTTACGACTGATCTGTTAAGAAAGGCTGGTGTCTTGTATGGTAAGACTGGTGTGCTGAGAGAGGCTTGTATATTGTAGGATAAGACTAATCTTTTGAAAGAGGCTGCTCTCTTGTATGGTAAGAATGGTCTGTTGAGAGAGGCTGGTATCTTGGAGGGTAAGATTGGTCAGTTGAGAGAGATTGGTCTTTTGTATATTACGACTGGTCTGCTGAGAGAGATTGGTATCTTGTGAGTTACTGGTGCCTTAAAGGGTTAGACAAGTTTGTTGATATATTCTGGTGTCCTGTATGGTAAGATTGGTCATTTGAGAGAATTTGGTCTTTTGTATGTTACGACTGGTCTGTTGAGAAAGGCTGGTCTGTTGAAAGAGACTGGTCTGTTGAGAGATGCTGGTGCCTTTACGATTTGTCAGTTGACAGATGCTGGTGTCTTGTATGGTAAGATGATCTGTTGAGTGAGGCTGATATGTTGAGAGGCTGGTCTGTTAAGAGGCGGGTCTGTTGAGAGAGGCTGATCTGTTGAAAGAGGCTGGTATGTCGAGAGAGGCTGGTCTGTTGAGAGAGGCTGATATGTTGAAAGAGGCTGGTATGTCAAGAGAGGCAGGTCTGTTGATAGAGACTGGTCTGTTGAGCGAGGCTGGTCTGTTGAGAGAGACTGATGTGTTGAGAGAGGCTAGTCTTTTGAGAGAGGCTGGTATGTTGAGAGAGGCTGGTCTGTCGAGTGAGGCTGGAATGTCGAGAGAGGCTGGTCTGTTAAGAGAGGCTGGTCTGTTGAGAGAGGCTGGTGTGTTGAGAGAGGCTGATCTGTTGAGAGAGGTTGGTCTATTGAGAGAGGCTGGTATGTTGAAAGAGGCTGGTATGTTGAGAGAGGTTGGTCTGTTAAGAGATGCTGGTATGTTGAAAGAGGCTGGTATGTTGAGAGAGTGGTATG